TAAAACGTAGCTTTATTTCTACGGTTAGGCCTACCGTCCACACTAATCCGTCACGAAAACGGAGCTTTTCGAAAACGCTCTAATTCAAACCAGAGGCCGGCTTCAAATTTCTCCGCCGTCGTGTGAACAGGACCTTACCCATTTTACCAAATCCTTTTTTTTTCTGATGCGGTGTTGGGAGTGTTTACTTGAGAGAGAAAGGGAGGGAATATATACGAGCCAACCTTATTGTCGTAGTTATGTCATATGTCATTTTTCCAATTTTCGTCGACAATTCGCAGGAAAACATTTTACGGTTAGAGTCTTTTTTAGCACAGAGACTACATGAGAAGTGAGCAGCGCTCTTTTTGGATTAGCTAAAGAAAGCAATGGATAACAAATTGTAAGAAAAAAAAGCGAACGAGGCGAGGGTGGGGTCTTGGAAAGAGCCGACGGAATTGGAAAAAATCTAGATGTCGCCTCAAAGATTATCTTTTGCGAATTTGCGAAGTTAAGTTTATTCAGCTACATAACCAAAGCTCAGAACAGACGGTTATAAGCTGCACTTTTTTATTTATATTTTAGAGCCAAGTTATGAGATGATAATTTTTCAGAGCTTGCTACAAACATCTCAGAGCCGGTGACAAACTCGCTGGGCAGATTCTAAAAGAAATTTCCCACCTCGACTGCAAGAAGATTCGAGAAGGAGCCTTTTCTGACTTTTCTGTGAAATGACTTAAGAGTAAGATTAACTACGACAGAACCCGTAAGTTATGAGCCCATTTTGGAGCGCATATTTGAATAATAATGCGTAGTATAGATTTTTATTGAGTGGCACTTAATAGAGAGGAGTCGCTTTTTGAAAGGAAGTCGCTAAACTAAATCACAAAACATCTATTTTTTTGTTCAAATTTCTTCCGGGCAATTGATTTTTTGTTGTTTAATTTAAACCGATCAATTTCAGTGTTCCGCTGCACTGGGTTGTTCAATTCAAAAGCCGGTTAACGCTAAATCCGGATTAAAACTGAAGTTAATTGAAGTATTAATTTTTCTGTTATAAAAAAAGTTTTTCTGCTTATGTTTTTTGTTGTTTGAGATTATTTGAACTTAGAACTGAAGGACAAACGATAGAAACAGCAATCCTCACCGAAAAAAACTGAAATCAAATTTCTCGTTAATTCTGGGTAAGCTTAATCGGGCTTTGAACAACCCGGCCTTGATGTTTGGAAAGTCTTACAAAAAAGCCGGCTCAAGGTCTCTCATGATCATTAGCAAAGAGAATGCCCAAGCTTCCTCGCGCAATGTGATGATTTTCTGATTTGACTTGCAAATAGTACCACATTATGCAGATTTTAGTTATCACCTTCAACACTCGGTGAATCCAAGACGAAAAGAAAAATATTAAGACGAAGATATTTCGTTTTGTAATTTTCGCTGAGTTATGTTCTACACTTCTGCAAGAACCTTTTTCAACGGAAAGTGATCATTCCTAAGTTAGACAGTAACTTACCATACGAAAAACAAGAGACCTGTAGCTGCGTGGACCTGTGGAGCGACTGTTGCAAACACGAGGAATATTATTCTTCTCAAGGTCAAACTTTCTCAAGGTAAATTATTGCATTTTTGTGGCCTTACGTTTAGTTATTCCTGTATTTGATGTGCAGTTATAACTTTAAGTTATATTTTACTACCGAAGTAGCCGCTTAGCTTAGAAACAAAGCTTCTTCAGTTCATGTCTTCCTCTGGTTGTGCTTCTCGAGAGAGACGTGGCTTATCTGAACGAGCCAAATGAAACAGTTCGGAAGTTTTTTTTCAAAAAATCCTATCAGCCGTAATTTGCAAAGCTTAGAAATAGTAGTTGGACCGAGTGGTGTAGATCTGTCAAGGAGTAATCGCGCGAGTAATTTCAAAATCGGAGGAGGGCGAAGAGCGAGGGCGATTTGAAATTACACGAGCACGATTAGTGAGCTAATCGGACATGTGTGTTGATAAAAGAAAAGAAACAGTCGTAAATCAGCTTGTGTAAGCAATGAAGAAGACTAAGATCAGTTCACTAGATAGCTCAGCGAAGATTGTACATTTATTTGTCATTTGTTGGGGAACGTTTGGCCCAAGTTTAGAACATGGGCAAGGACTATCGTTTATAGTTTAGTATTCAGTTTTAAGTAAATTTACTCATAGATTGATTTTCATGTGAGTCAAAGTATCCCTTTTTTGCACACCGCCAACTAGATCTTATTACTCTCGCTTCTCATTTTATTGAAAGCGAATGCAAGAAGGCCGTGCAACGAATGACATAGATAAGATACATAGACTAAAATACAACCAGTGTATCCTGATTAATTTAACTCTTTACACCTCTCTTCAGGTTAATGAAGCTAGGTAATGCCAAAAAACCTCACGAAAAGCTTCCTGTCCCTGACATGATCAGATATAGAGCTCAACAAGCCGCATCAGAGATGAGGTCAGTAAATCTCCTTTACTCGTCATTACCATTTACTCGAGTTGACATATGTAAATGGAATTTTCTTCATACATTTTAGCACAGATCTCTCATAATCTCTCCGAGGTTTCATGCAATCTAAAAATGCCGTCGTAGGTTTACAGTGGTTTACAGTCTCATAACATTCTGTATTTTGGGGGTAACGTTCAAGGTATATGAAGGTGGAAAAAGAGATGAGGAATAACTAAGCTTTCACAGGAGAAAAATAGCAATAAAATGTCCCGATTGCACATTAAGAAGATAGCCTAGGGAAATTAGGGTTGAGAGTTATTGTAGTGTGTTCCATCGGCTTAAATGTTCATGCATATTTTTCTCTCTAGGTTAAAAGGATGAGGTTATGAAGCCGAGCATGCCAAAAAGGAAAAAGCTTTCACGAAGCTTGCTGATGTCGATGCAGGCCAAATACAAGTCAGAGCGAGACATCTCTAAGTTAGTTAAGGTTAGTGTGTTTTCATCGACTTTTATCAGCTTCAATTGCAGTCGGTTTTAACGTGCAAAATTGTTTGTTGCACGTACGTGACCACCACGGTTATTTGGCATAGTCATCAAATCTAATTTCAATTTGTTTTTGTTTCTATCAGAACGTCTTCTTGAATTTGCTTAGAGTCATAAAACAGCCGATGAAGATCTACAGAGACAAGTTCTCCTGTCAGCTATGAGCAAATTCAAAGATGACTTCAATTCGACTTGATTCAGGCCTTCCAACGAAGAGGTTTGTTTCAATATTCAGATTAGCCGTTTAACCCTTTAGAGATAGCTCGCCTAGTTTTCCTAAATGAAAGTGAACTAGTTTTTGGATCGACAATAACAAAAAATAAAGGAAGTATATGTTATGTGCAGTTAAGGCTCTGTGAAATTTAATACACAATTAAAGCGAGTAAAAATCCCGAAATAAAACTGATACCTTCGTCTGTCTCTTGCTTTTGTAACCCTTTTTCTCATCAGTTTTATTTTCCTTGTGCAGCCTAGCTTAGCCCGTTCATTATATCTAAATGAAAGTTCTTTCTATTTCTCTTCCTTTGAGTGTAAGACGATAAGCTGGTCTGACTGTTACCAAAGATGACGTCCTGATTGTTGAATCAGGTCAGTAACTTATTTATTGATTTGTTTGTTCTACATATTTTACCAGGCAAAAATGAACACAAATTTGAATAGTTTTCATACCCCAAACATTTCACGAAACTTAAATAGCAGGAAATGTTCTGACGCCCTCTTTCCGAAATTCTATCCAATCGCTGTAAAGAGCTTTTCATTCATTATTTATAACTACGTTTCGTAGTTCAAGAAAAACTGACAACTGGACAAGTTAGAGGACTTATTTTGTATACCAACTTTTATGAGAAAGAAGTGAAAAAATCCTTAGCACTTTTCCGCTTTTTTCCCGCCCCCTCCTGAGTTTGGAATGTGAAAATAGATCTCAATAATAGCTTTTTACATTTCTTTTCAGAGTTTAAGACATAAAGCTTACTTTATCGTTTTCAAGGATGGTTTCAGCAGCATAGTGACGATGTCAGGTCAGTGATTTGTTTGTCATTGCACGAAAATAAGCAAATAGTTGACTGACAAGATTTTTCATATCTCATCAAAGCCTGTAGAAGTGAAAAACAAAACTCGTGATGTGTGATGTCAAAATGTCAAATTTCGAGGTTGCCACAGATATGTCGGGTCTGCTCTCTCTTAGTTGTGTCGAAAAAAAAGGGGGGGCTATCCTATACAAAAACACTTACGATTGTAGGAAGAGAACGCTCAAGAAAGGCGCCAGCATAAAATGACCCTAAAATGCATGTAGGAGACTCTCAAAAAAACATCAATCTCAAATTTTTTGACAAATAATTGTAGCTCCCAAACTCCCGGAGAACGTTTTTGGCCCCGTCTCCACAAAAACCTGTACTGGGCCAGGAGTCTAAACAACCAATCATTCTATCTCCCTAAAGATAATGGAAGAACAGATTATGAGAAGAGAAGTTTACACAGTTACAAAAGAAGGCATTCGCTGAAGTTTCATTATAGCAGGTTAGTAGTGTTCATTTATTTACTTGGTTGTCTATTTTAAGAAGGTGGAAAAGAAAATTAATTGTTTGTTCGTTGGAATTTAAGGAGTTTCGTAAATTGTTCATGCATTCAATTTGTGAAAAACAAAACAACCTTCATTTCTTTCGGCGCTGAGATAATACAAATAATTTAAGAGTGGTAATGCAGTTGTGCTTTCAAATTAAGCCGTCGCGATGGCTTTTAGTCGTTTGAAATCCAAGGAGTTACTGCAAATAATGTTGGCCGGATCAAGAGGTTTTGTGATCCATTAGTTTACAAATGTGATTGAAATCCAGTTTCTCCTCATAACATCAGTACATTGTCAAGCAAATAAGTTATGAGAATGAAGAAAATCATCAATGAGGGAATTTTGTCGCCAAGGTACATGGGAGAGGATGATCAAAAGCTTCACGTAGTGGCAAAGGAAGTGCGAGAACAATGCAAAGCTTCAGTATGATTAATCCATTTTGTTTTCTTTCTTTCAGGATTTCGGACCATACGATGAAGGCAAGAGAAAGGCAAAGACAAGACACTGGAGGCAAAATTAAGAAGACTGGACACTTAACACAAGACAGAGTACACAAGGGACCTGAGTAAGATACAATTTAGCGATTTTTTTTTTCAAGCCAAAAAAGTGGACGTAAGAATCGGCAAAGTTTTTCTTGCAATTAATTTTGAGAACAGAAAGACGAAGGTTATCTACAAAAAGGGACCGGCCCAAAATATGATTTACAGCTAGGTTTTGTAAGGAAATGATTCATCGGCTTTGCTCTACAAATTTTCATCAGTTTTTATCTTTTTTGTCCTTGGTCACGCTGCGAGAGTTTGGTGGTTTGTGTGCCTGACGCGTACTTGACTCTTAAGCATCACTGGTGTTGCGTTACATTATAGGCCGTTAAGAATATGTTGATAAGGCTTTGTGAGGGAAATTTAAATACAGGAGATTCCACTATCATTTCAGGAAATAAAGAGTATGAAGTCTCATTTGATATTTTGTTGGCTTGTTGAGACAAACAGCGAGATGGCAAGATACCGGAAAAGAATTTATTTTCTGAGTTCGCAGTTAAAATACGACAACACTTCATGAATTTCACTTCATAAATTGGAATAATTCCCGTGCAGAACTTTATTTACATATTCTCAACAGTCGTTAGTGTAACGCAACATTGTTGTTGTTTAATAGCCACGTACGTTTCTGTTGCACGATTCACCAAGTTCTCGTGTCGTGAATTTCGTAAGTCTTGATTTTTCTTGAGAGGAAATTTTTTATAGTGAGCCTTCGTGTTTAGAATCACAAATTTTTGCTGGTTTTCAAATTTCAGAATGGATTGTCTGTTTGTCAAAATGTCTCGACTAAAAACGGTTTTTTGAAGTTGAAATTTATAATAGATGTCGCTGCCAAGTTTTTGTCGAGTTGGTTTTGTACAGAACCTCTTATTTAATAAAAGTTTACTTAAAATGTCTTGACTGCCTAAATTTACTTTCACGTAACCTATGTCAATTTTTAATTTTCCCGCCAAAAAACTTAGAAAAAATACGGGCGCCCAAAATACGCATGCGCCAGTTTTTTT